TAAACAATATCGGTATATGCCGTACAGTCTCCACGACCTATTGCTGTTTACCTAAAAAGTGCCCCCAGATCCGGGTGTAGGATCTATAGTAACCCCAAACAAACCCTCAAAAGTAAAGCAATCAAGACAATCAAGAGAAGCAATTTAATGACCTAGATCCTAAGGTATACCCCACTTATTTTATCCCCAGTAGAGTCGCCAGTTCTGTGATACAGTGGAAGAACTGACTGTTAATACTGGTTTGTGTTTGCGTTTTTTGATTCGTAAAATGTCGCGGTAAGCAAGAGTCGCCACCGAATTTTATTTCATCCAATCATGGAAAAGGAAAAAGAACAGAAAAAACCTTTTTTCGAGATATTCTGAGTACGGGGGTATATTATAGAAAGGGAAGGTGTTAGCACCCTTTCTATCCATGGTTTTCCATGGGCTCTTAGGTATTTGCTCGTTTTTAAAATTGCTTGTGTGTGCTTATTTTTTTTTAAAAATATTTTACTTCGTGATAACCCTTGTATCAGTCCTCAAGGGTGTGACGAAGTTTGTTTTGAAAATTGGTCTTGAAAAGTGTTTGTGTGAAAAGTTTTTATTGAGCAAGTACTTAAGATTCTACCTACTCGAAAAAAGATTGTTTATTCTCGTTTCCTTTAGACAACACTATCCCACTATTAAGGAGTAGGTAGCACCATCGTTGGAGTTGTAAGGGACATTCAAAAGGGACAAGTACAATCACTAAAGCAATAGTTAGAAAACTTTAGTAGTAACCCTAAAGTCTTAAGATATTTCTGAGACAACATTTCCGACACAACATTCGAATGGGACATTTTGATCTTTTAGACTGGAGGGAAACCACTAAAATCTCCTATGCTTAATGACTGTTTTACCGAAGGCAACCGAAGTGGGGTAAACCCTAGGAGTGAATATGTGCATGTGAATTGTTTCAGTGATATAGTCTTTGCACATTAGGTGATCTACCGTTTTAATTTCAAGTAATCTTCCCATACAATCCTATTAGCCTACATCTAGACAGTTAAATATTTGAAGGAATTTAAAGTGCGAAAAATAAATCTAGCTATTACAAGGCTTTGACAGTTACATAATTATCTTGACGGAAAATAAAAATGCGGAAGCTTAAAACCCTAATTAAAACTATTACAAACTCGAAACAGCTACAATAATAATAAAACAAATAAAAATGCACGCGGCAAATTAAATGCGAGAAAAAATTGAGAACCCTAAAAATCTAATTGAAAAAATATTTAAGTTATTTTTTTTTTTGAGAAAAGACTTAATTAGGTTATGTACAATTAAAACTCTAATTCTAATCATTTTTTAATTATAAAAAAGAAATTGAAATTAACCTAATTTAAACTAAATTAAATAATTCAAGAAAATAAAATATTTTGTAAAAAAAAGATTTTATGGATTTTTGTGGTTTTTATTTGAGAAAAAAAACATCTTAATTAAATGAACCTAGTTTCTAATTATTTTTAATTATGAAAAAGAAATTAAATTTAACTAACTTACTAATTACGTTCAAATAAATATTTTATATAAAAAAACTCTTTTTTTGTGATTTGTTGATTTTATGATTAATAAAAAAAAGTAATTTATTTTTAGTGAAAAATAATTAAACCAATTAATTAAAATAAAAGAAATAGAAGAAATAATTAAAAAAATGAATTAAGAAAGGCCCTGTGTTATGATGAATAGGGGGTGTGATCCTGAAATTTCCAGGCCCAATAGTCCTTCAAGCCCAGTCAGCGCATGCTTTCCTGTGGCATTGACTTGAGGGTGTACCTTAGATCCCCCACTGCTATGCGTTAGATCTGGAGAGGCTGGGATCCATTGGTGATGACTTGAGGAGTATGGAAGGCGCATGCAAGGTTGATGCACTAGATCTGTGAACAGAAATTGAGAAAATGAGAAAATACTTGGACATGGGATCGAACCCAAGTCCTCACACTTACCACTAGCGCACTCTTCCACTGGGCTCTATGTGTTAGTTGTACACATAATAGAAGAAACATATAATATAGAAAACAAGTGGGTTAGTGAGAAACGTGCATGAGATTTCAAATGGTCCACTGATTGGCTGACACCTAATCTTCTTCTACCTTTCTCCGTCATCTTAGCTGCATACCTTTTACCTACAGTCATGTGTTTGTAGCTATAGCCCTGTGAATTTCCAAAATGCACAAGACACATGATAAATTACTTCCAATTATGTGGATCAATTCATCTTGATCTCGTGAACATCATGGTGTTCTTCTTTTGGCCCAATTTAACCTGTGTGACAAACCCCTAAAACGCACACGAAAACCCTAATAATGGCAAAGGCACGTATATGCGTCAAAAACATAATTAAATCATCCAGTCAGATTGCAAACATATCCATGATCACAAATATATCACTTAAATATGCTAATGATGTAGGAAATTCAAAAATCGATTTGGAAAAAATAAGTAAATCGTGGGAGTGATTGCGTGCGTTTCTGGGCGAGATAAGACTTGCAAATGATCCAGTTTGCTTCAGGGATGCTCCAAGATACGATTGCTGGCTTTAAATTGTTCTGAAAGGCCCTGTGGAGTGAAAATCGAGTCACACTTTTTCCACTTTTTTGAGTTTGTTCTTTCTCCTCTACGACTGCAAAACCTTGTCTCATGCCTTGTACATGTTCCCTATATATCTTAGAGTGAATTAGGGTTATAAACTTGACTTGAATCTTTGCAATTATGGGAGATTTGATTTGATTTCCATGCTATATGTAAACTTACTATTTTGAGCCAAATCATCCCTTTCTTGTACCAATTATGCTTGATTCGTTTTGGTCTTGATAACTCAGCATATTTTGATTGCAAGTCTGTCAAAAAATCAAATCTAATCATATCTTTGCTGTTATTCACCAATTATTTGATTTAATTTAATTTTTTATTATTAAAAAATCAAAATAAATTGAAAAATGAAGCAAATAATATGTGGTTGAATATTTGGGTCGTGTACCATATTATAATTGAGGTGCAAGCATAAAAAATTAGGCCCATTTGACAAAAAATGTAATTTTGAGCCTATTTGACTTTTGGCAATTTTGCAAAAAAGGGTTAACTTTGACAAGACATATCTTCTCCAATTTTAAACCTAGAGAAGTGTTCTTGGACTTTTTAGAAAGCTTAGGATATCCCCTAAGCAACCTTTTTGGTCTTATCTCAATTGAGTCTTCCATGTTATTGTAAGAAGCTTTGACCCAAAAGGTGTTTTTGTTGACTTTTCAAAAGGACCCATAATGTAGAAATTCATATCTTTTTGTGGGTGCATATTTTAAACTTTTGGGGTGAAGGTGAGTTGTAAGGAATTACATCCTCTTCAAAATGAGATTTGGATGGAAAATTTCTGATAAAGCATGTGGAAGTTATGCTTGGTCAAAGTTTGGTTGACTTTTCTTAAGAAACCCTAATTTAGCAACTTTTGGGTTTTGATGAATTTGGAGTATTCCTTGAGGAATCATGATCAACCCTTGATCAAATGATGAAAGTCACTTCAAAATGTCAATGTTGACCAAAAATCTTGAAGTTTGACTGTATGTGGGTCACAGTTGACTTTTGACCTAATACAGTCAATTCTCAAGCATCTGAGCAGTTGACTGAGCAAACTTCTTGTGCAAGGCATGAAACTTGACATGTAGGGTCTTGAGAACATATTAGGACCAAAGAGAGCATATGAGGTCTTTGGATTCCACCTATCTTGAAAGAATTGGAACCTTAATTTGAGACAACCTGTCTTAGAAGAGAGTTTGTCTGGTCAACTCTTGGGTAAACTTGAGCAAATCGAGGATCTCAAGGAGTATGTGTTGAGTAAAATGAGAGGACAAATTTTTAGATACAACAATTAGTATAATGAAATTAATCATTTTTATGCATGTCAGGATGAATGTATTTTTTTAATTGTAATGAAAATAAAAAAGAGATAATGTATTTTCAAAACTATTAAAAACAATAATTTAAAATATATTGTATGGAAACGAAAACAATTTTTAACTTAAAAAAGAAGAAAAAAATATATTAAAAATATAAAATATTTTTACATTATCAATTAATGAAAAACATATATTATAATAGATTTTAATTTATTTTTAAAATACTAAAATGACATGTAAGAGTTTTGATTAATTATTTAAATTCTTTAAACAAATAATCAGATTATATACTCTCTCTATAACAATGAGTGTAACATTAACATATATATATATATATATATATATATATATATATATATATATATATATATATATATATATATATATATATATATATATATATATATATTATTTTAAAAATGATTACCATTTTTTACTCTTTAATGTAGAAATTAATATAAAAAATCAATTATATATTCAAATCAATATTATGCACATCTTTCTAAAATTTGTGACGGTACAAAATACATTAACGTTTAGCTTAATAAATATGTTAAGTCTTTTGATAGTTTTATTATATTTAATAATAATTTTATAAAATTGTCTCCTTAATTCCATTAATTGATAGTTACAGGTATATTTGATTTCAATCGCATGAGTTCAAATAATATTTCACTTATTTATTTTTAATATGAGAAATTAGAATAACTAAATTATTAATAAAGAATATTTTTTAAATTTGAATAACTAATATAATATATTCAATGAAACACAAATATCCAGAAAAGACTGTAATATTAACGTATCAATATCGATAATTATTTAAAATAAATAAATAAATTAAATATAATTATAAGTGTCACTTGACATCAATATAAATACGGATATATTTTTTTCAAAGATGTAGGTATTATATATAAATAAATATATTTTAAGAAAGAATACCTTGCCTTGCCTTTGAAAGTTGAATGCATAAACCAACAAAGTGACACAAAGAATATATGCCAAAACCAACTTAATATGAAAAGTAACGAAGCTTTCATCAACTAATCAACCAAGAGTATAAAGCTGGCATGCTCATAAGAGAGTCTTAATAACATGGAGTGGGTGCAGTCCAACAAAAGAAGGGGTTCAGAATGGAAACAAAGATGGAGAGAAAAGAACATGGCCTCTGCTTCTGCGCCTCCATTCCACTTGCTCATGATATTTGGCATTGTGGTTAGTTTGTTGTGTCTTTCACAGTACAACCACTTCAAGGCTCAGCTCTATAACACAGCTACCAACTTTCAGTTTTTCATCTTCTTCTTACCCTTCTTGCTTATGTTCTTCATTGTTTCATCATATTCTACTAGTGGAAGGTTCAGCTTTCACACGTTTGGAGCATGAGAAAAGTTCCGCATAATAATTACATTTATGTATAATATTACTAGGAAAATACTCTAGTTAACTTGTTCATAGGATATATATTTTATTATTTTTAAATTTTAAATGCATCTGACTTGGTTCAGAAACATATATAAATATTTAAACCTTCTTATTCCATCCATTGCTAATTATCAAGTATATATCTTAAGCTATAGAGTGAGGAGTAAGGTACTGAATATTGTGATATAATATTGTTTGTTTTGGTGCTTACCATAGGAAAATTATTGATGAGTTATTCACAACTAACTAAAATAACTCACGTATAATCTATTAAACAATATCAATCATAGAATTTTTTTAAAAGTTATGATTAGTTAAGTTAAAAACTGTAAAAAAACATTTAAGGAAAACTGTATATAGTCTTAGTGTGATCCATTATCCATTGTATATTTATGTTATTGTATTTTTAAAGGTTTCTTGAAGTCTATAAACTTATTTAAGAACGTTTGTTAGGGTGGAAATACAACATGTGATTTCTTATGGTTATTATGATTTGTTATAATTTGGATGTTATGATCAAAAAGAAATAACACGTTGTTTAAACACAACGTTAGGTCTATTGTTCAACTGTTAGATAGAGTTGGTGGCAAAATTCATTTATTTGTTTGGGTTTAAATTGAGGATGTTGCTCTTGATCTGTTGTTTTGTTGTAAACTTCGAGACTCTTTAGTACATCTTGTATTAGAGGTAGTTTTTTTAATCCATTTTGATTTTTTCAAAAAAAAAGAATGTTTGACATTAAGGTTTAAACACACTTATATCTAATTAAATAGGTGATATTGTATATAATATTAATGTTGTGAAAATGATACAATAGAAAAAATAAAGTATAAATTGTTTTTTTTTTTTATGATTAAGAAATGATTAAGGTAGAAAAGATAGATAAACATGAAGAACAACAAGGAATTGGTTATTAACTGCTATTCTTTACTTTCACTTTGAAACAAGATTACAAGTGTTACAAAATAATAAATAACCTCACTCACCCTAAATTAGGATATGCAATATGCAATAATGAGAGACTAGTATGTTGTTTATAATAAACCTAACATACTAAACTAATGAGATTTTCCACAAATACCCATTACAAGCTAACTTAGGGTACAAACTGTTGCACCCCAAAATTTACCCTCTTGATTTAGGCTTATGTTTCATCATGAATATCATATTGCATTGCATTCATACATTGTGATGGGATCAAAATACTTTGGTTATCAAGTCTTCCTCAAACTTTGAAGGTTGATTGCATTGACAAGTTGCTCAAGTAGAACCTTATCATCTAAACCTCTGAATCTTTCAAGCTCAAAAGTTATTGCATATCTCAAGATATTTTATCCATCTCTTTAGATCATCAGAGGATTGAAGTTTGTGATTGATTATAAGAAGAATCACTTTTTTGATTCACCAGTCAAAATTAGGGTTTTGCTTGATCAAGGCTATTAATCAATGTACAAGTCTTGATTTGGAAAGCTACAACATCTCATTGGTATTTGAAAAGTCTTTCTACAAGAAATTGGTCAAGATATCCAGAGGATTTGAAGTTTTGAAGATGATTCATCAGTCTCCTAAGGTGTTAACCAAATTTAGGATTTGGGATCTCATCAGGTTTTCTTGAGAATTTTGAAGTGAAACTTTGTACATGACCTATATATATTTGGAATATCATATGTTTGAAGTCTTGATCATCAATTTTGAAGGGAAGTAGATCAATTGATTCAAAGGGGCAAAATGGTCATTTTGGTCAAAATCAGTCAAAGTCAAGGTTGATCAAGTGAACTTTTGGTAAACCATCAATTCAAGGGTGTACTTTTCATATATCAAGTCCATTTTGAACATTGGATCAAAAAGATTGAGGTTTGGGTTGAAACTTGTTCATGAAGAAATCCTAAAAGTTTCTAATTTTGGAAAATGAGGACTTAACTTCAAAAATTCATATTTTATTCACCTTTGATCAAAAAATGGAAATGAAATATGCTTGGAAAGATAAGAGGGTAATATTTCATCTCCTTTTGGTCTCATGTTCAAATTGGCAAAGAGTCAAGAGTTATGGTCTTTGGAAGTTCATGCCTCAAGTTAAAATTATAGGTCATTTTCCAAAATTAGTGAATTTCATGTCAAATTTTGAGGGCTTTAATGGATTCAATTGCAAAAACTAAAAACCAGGGGATTGTAGATCTTTTCAATACCTTTCCAAATTGTACTCATTTGTGTCCAAATTCAAAAATATGAGCAAGTTATGAGCTTTGGAATTTTAAGGCATTTTATTAAATTTTGACCAAGCAAGCAAAATGCAATTTCTTGAGAACTCGAGTTTCAGTCATTCCTTTTGTTTATAATCAAGCCCATAACCAATTTGTAACATGCTAAGGCCCATTGCACTCACCATTTCGTGCCTCATATGGTATTGTACTTGTTTTGATTGAAAAAATCACAAACTTGCCTGATTTCGCAAATTCATCAACATTCTCTCATTTCAAGTAGTCATGACCTGGGACTTTGAGCATTGTTTTCTGACCTCATTTGGCTCATAAAACACAAAGAAAATGAGAGCTTGCACGAGTGAAACGCAGGCTCCATGTGCAATCTCACTTTTTGCATAAACTACCAAACTTGCCCTCCAACGGCTTGGAGGACCAAATACCACTTCTATCCTCTTCCTCTCGTGCTATATAATAAGAACCAAGGCTCAGTTTGAAGGTTAGTGGTTCATAGTCACCACACTTCAGATCTGAAAATTTTCAAGTATCTCTGTAAATTGCTTCGAATCTCTCTTCTCCTTGGATCATTCTTCAAAATTCTTGGTGGTTCAGATTCAGTGAAGTAAGGAGATCAAGCTTGCACCATTGGTTTGCTTCTGGAGTGAAGGAATCTAGTTTCCAGTTTTCACATCAATGTGAGTTTTCTTGAACTTTTATTTGCATGATTCAGCTTGAATTGATGATGTAGATCATGTCCATTGAGTTGCTAGCTGGCCAATCATTAGGATTGATGTATATTTGAGCTTTGATTCAAGCAGAATTGGTGAAATCGTGTTTTTGGTTTTGGTATTTACAATGTGTTTGTCCAGTTTTTGAGACTTTATTTCTTGATTCATGCTTGATCTTTGAGATTGATTCGAATTGCATAATGTAGTATGATATGTTAGTTTTGATTTGGACTGAAGTTGGGCTGCAACACTGATGGGCACGCGCGTTTTCTGGTTTGGCTGGAGGTTAGGGATGATGAGGTGTCATCATCTGAGCGGTCCATTTGAATTTTTGAATTTTAGTTTATATTTCGATTTCAATTGATTTTCTGATTTTTGTTTCTTGATAAAAACAATTTAAAAAATTCTTAAAAAATTATCACAAGTCCAAAACAAATTCCACTATCTTGTGTAATTTTATTGGAGTTTTTAAAAATGTTTTGATTGGTTTAAAATTTCATAAGTTTAATTAATTGTTTGTTCAATGATTATTTTTATTTTAATAGCTCTTTTGATCTAAAAATTCCACAAAAATTATCTTTGACTCATAAAATAATTTAAAAATTGATTCTGATTTTGGTTTAGCATTTTTTTATTTTTGATTAGAAATTTAATTTGAGAAGTTTATTTGAAATGTTTGCTTCATAATTTTTGTTTTAATATTTTCTTTAATTCAAAAATCCTCAAAAAAATCATATAAGTTTGTTTTTAATCATAGTGTCTCAATATAATTTTGTTTTGACCTTTTTGTGACTTTTGGCTAGGGTTTGCATTTTGGCCATTAAATAATAGTTTAAATTATTTAATTGTTTGTTTGATTTTATTTTAATATTTCCTTTAATTTAAAAATTCCACAAAAAATCATGGATGCTATTTTTTAATTCTAATATTTGAATATAATTTTGGTTGGATAATTTTCTGACTTTTGATTGGAATTTTATTTTGAGATGTGAATTTTTGTTTAATTGTTTAAAGGTTTGAATTTTGATTTTATTTTTTACTTTTCTTTAATTCTAAAAATTTGAAAAAATAAGTTCTCTGATCTTTAGAATTTTATTTATTTTTGTATGATTTTAATTTGATTTGTTTAGAATTGGAACTTGATTAATCAATAATTGAGTTCATTTTCTAAATAATTAGGGTTTTGCTAATTCCCTTGTTTGTTTTGATTCCAAAAAGTAACAAGCCTTGAGTTTCAATTGAATTTGGTTCTTGTTTAAGGTTCATAGATGGATTGAGGTCCTTAAAAAGATTTTTCTTGAATTAATTGATAAGGTTTGGTATTTTCCACAAAATATTTGGAAAACTTGTCTAGTTTGGTGGTTTTTGCCAACTAGTCTTTGATGTTTGAAGTTTGATTGATCCTTTCCTCATCCATACATGAGCTTAAAACATGTTTGCTGACTCTTATACATCTCAAGGATGCTGAGAAAATTTTTGTTTGAATTATGGAAGCCCTTTTCTTTTTTTGATGTATTTTTGAAGTGAAGGTACCCAATTAATGTTGCATATCTTGTTGCAATTTTCTTGATGGCCAATGAACTTGAGTGAGGCATATAATTGGGAACCTAATGATCATGTTGGTTCTGTTTATCCACATAAACTCAATTCATTTCACTTAATGCCCCATGTTTGAATGATTGAACCTTTTGATGCATGTTTCATGACTTTTTGCTTTCTTGTTGATCTTCACTTTGAAACTTGAGCTTTCAATTTGAGTTTGAGGTCATTAGATGGCCAATGATAACATGAAGGGAAATGATACTTCAATGATATTCTCATGAGGACTTGAGATTAATTGATCCCTATTACTTAAGTTAGTTCTAATCATGAATGGAGTTAGGCTTCTTTCTCTTATCCTTGTTCAATTTTTGAGGCATTTTGAATGCACTTGTGGAACATGTTATAGAATCAACACTTTAACCTTTTGATCATGTCCTAATCGTGTTTTGGAATCTTTACTTCAAATCTTTGATTGTTAAAAACTCTCTAATTT